CCAAAATTCGTAAAATAATGTTTGATATGCCGATGTATCGTGAATAGTTTCGTCGAATATTGTTTTATGTATCCTTAAGACATCTCATTCAATATTTTTTTTGGCAAAAGAACGTTGTATGTGCACATGCGACCCATTATACTTGAAAAGGCATAGTTTATAAAACAAATAATTATATTATCATAAACGGTACTAACTTCTGTGCATACTGTACAAATATTAAGTAGCTAGTATAATTTATAACAGATTTATAAGCAAATATGTGCGCGCGAAATTTATAATCGCTCTACTGAAAAGTCGACAATTTGCAAATAGAACATTATTCTACTAATGGGACGATAAGTATTTATAAAATGTACATAGAAGTGACGTCACGCGACATTTCAAATCAATATATCGTCGAAAGTATTCGTTTCTGTAAGAAAATAAAAAATACATGTCTAATGATTTAAAATAATCTACCAGACGGACTTTAAAAAAAAAATAGTCATCACCTATAATTGCGAGGCGGTGATTAAAGTCCACTACTGAAAATGAACCTTCTTTACCTCAGAGTTTTCCGTCATGTCCACGCTAAGCAGGCAAGATGGAGATCAGGTTAAAAGGTTCAGGTTTATCAGAGAGCGCTGCTGCCCGGTCTCTGTCTAATGTGTAGTCTCTTACGTCCAGTTTCAATAACCTATCATATACAATATACAATTAATATTAACTATAACTAAATGAAAATATATACAACTTAAAATATAAATAACTATGAAATAAAATATTTACACCTTAAAAAAAGTAATAATAATAATACATGAGCTCCATACAAAATGTGTCAATATTCTATCTCTAGTAAGCAAATCTACAGATAGATAGGTTATTGAAACTGGACGTAAGTCGGGTATACGACACCCGCGGAAAGAGTCGGGGTGGTCATAAATGTATTCTACTCTGTATGTTACCACACAGCCTATTAAGCACATACAAACATACTGTCGTTCAAGACTGTCCCCCATGGCAGTAGGCAGAGACTATGGAACGCCAAAAAAAAAAAAAAAAATCTTTTCATGTATGCTCGTCGGTTAAGGGTACTTTTAATCGGGCCCATTAATATATCGCCAATCTGGTCGATATATGTCTGTCTAAAGCGCCCTCTACCGACGTTCCGATTCATATACACTCTGTATACTTTTGTAACAGCTTTCATCCATACTTTCTACATGTCCAAACCAACGTAACATTCCCTTTTCAATCCTTGTCATTACGTCGTCACAATAGAGTCATTAATCAAAATAAACATAAAATTCGACACCTCTGTCTACCCCATTTTAGACAGGGGCTGGAAACATACGTTGACGCTCATCTATGTAGTGACGTCAGGTATATTTTCGTTCGTCCATAACTGATAAGTTAAGACTTATTCTTAGTTAAGAATAAAATAATGCGATTTTGCGACTAAAATTAACAATATTGTCGCGTGTTTTGTCTATGCCAAAGGTAGGAATAAAGTTGCGCCTTAAGGTTTTGATTACGATCTCCAGCCACAGTAAGCGCGGCCCTGCGGATGACGAGCTTGGGTGGCTCGCCGCCCGACCAGAACCACGAGCGTACGGTGCGTCGCGTTCCTCGCGCACCTCAAAGAGCCACCGCGGATGGGGCCCAAAAGGGCTGATGTCGATACGGAGCCGCGGAGGGCTTAACGGGTTGCCAGGGTTTCGGCTCGTAGGGCAGGAATAGGAACGGGGTGGTTTTTAGTCAGTATGTCTCTGACACACTCCCTCTCGCCTCACCCAGACGGGAGAGGTCTTTCGATGATTTTCACTCCTTAAAAAAAGCTTTTGATTGGCGACAGAAAACTGTTGAAGGTAAAATGAATTCTTTGCGCTAACGCCCGACAAATTCTCCGGTACGTAGTGGTTAATGTATTAATTCCCAAATGGATTAGCAGAAATGCTTATATAATAATTAATATGTCTATGATGAAACTTGTCACAAGTGAGGTATGGGCCCTATGATGATAAGGGATAACTGATTGAGTAAAGTCAAAACTCTAAACTCTAAACAGCCAAAACTCTAAACTCCTAGATTATACTATTATTGAGAAATTGTCGTAAATTCAAAATAACCTAATAACACATTGTCCAACTCGAGACTGGCTCGGTAGCTATAGATGCTGCGACCACTCGGACAAGTACTTGATAATTATTAAATAACAGACTACTAACTGACATAATTATAATCAGATTGTGGTTTGTGAACCGCAATCAGACAACTAATAAGCACTTCTACATACATAGGTACATACATAGGTACATACATACATAACTTCACGCTTGTCTCCCATGGGGGTAGGCAGAGACTAAGAAACGCCAATTACTACGATTCTTACATACCTCTTTCGCTTCAATAACAGTCATCAATCTTTTCATGCATGCTCGTCGGTTAAGGGTACTTTTATAGGGTACTTTTACTATTATTACGTAAGTACTTCTACACTTATGTAAGTACTTCTACTTGTGCTATTATTATTATGTACATACATAGACCTCTATCTACCCCTTCGGCGATAAAATTCTTGCCGGTATAAAAAACTCATTTAAAACTTAATACCTAGTCTGAAAATTATAAGTACCTAATCTAGTAAATCGCACGTAGCTAGATAGAACAATATGACCGTAAAAAATAAACGTATGTAGGTACACACTAGTTTTCATTATCCAAGTCTAAATGAAACCTATAATGAAACTCAGACTAGACTCAGTCTCCCTTGCATTTCCCCCAGACAAAATCGATATCACGCGACAAAAAAAAACGCAGAATTTTCTCGAACGAAGTCGCACAGCTTTACCCGCCCACCTGACCGCACCCTCTACCCACCCCATCATGCGCAGTGAGATGCCCGGTATGGATCGCCAGTTCTACAAGGGACGCCGACGAGACCAGTCATGCATCGGTAAGTACAAACCACCTCTGATAAATATTTTGTTAAAATTTTCCACCGATTTTTTGTCGATCTACCTATGGGGGCTTTATGCGTGAATAGGATTCTTTTGTTTCTTTATTTTTCTTTTTCACGATTTTGAATTTCGAATTTGTTTGTGGAATATTTTTAAAAAGTTTGTTTTTTATTTTTTATCTGCGTATTATTTTGTGATCGCGCGTAAAGTTTAGAATTTTGGTTTTTTTAAATATTAGTTTATTTTTAAATCGAATTGTAAAAAATGTGTGGGTGATTAGAACATGGGGCATAGGGTATGTATTTTTTGGTTCTTTATGATTTATTTTAGGTACCTACTTGCCCGGTTACTTCATTTATATAAAAAATACGAGTTACGTATATTTAATTTTCGACTCCATTTTGATAATTCGTGTTATCTTTACCGTATTGTGTGAAGTTCTGAAAATAACTTTTCAAACTGAAATATGAACAAATATTATCTAAATGATAGTATAACTCCATCTATTGATTCATAAAATTAATAATGATGTGAAACAAACAAAAATACCTACTTTATTATAGCATAATTCTACTTTCCCAAATAAAAACTATTTTTTGACAATGACATTCAAACTTGAACAACATCTGAAAACTATTTTCGCGCGTAAAACCATACAAATGATTTTTGTAATACAAATTGTAACTAAAAATGCCGTTTTATATACATTTCTTTAAAAATCGTACAAAATAAACCAAAAATCGATATTCTAGAATTCATACGAAGCAAGCCTACCCCAAACCGATTTTAGCATCTGTCAATGGCGGGGAAATCCATAGACGCAGACATCCAGCGTATCTTGATCTATCATGGCGGCGCCACGTGCACCGTTATAAAAGAAAGGGCGTCATTATGAATGCATTGCATTTAGTACTTCGTTCCCCCACGTGTCTAGTTATATTGGACTTTGCGCACCCCTTTTGCGAGCTTAGTCATCGTGGTTTTGACCCTCGAATCAAAGAGAGGGTCGTTTTGTACCTAACTTTGATCTGTCTGGCTCCGTGTAGCATCTGAATGAATTTGAATAAACTGGTTTTATTTCTTTATCATTGAAAACGGATTTTTTTTAATTGAAAGCTGTTATTATTGTTAGTTAATATTTTGAGATACCTTATTAAGACCAAAAAATTTAATTAAGACTATTTTAAAGCATTATTGCTAATTTAAATAAATTATCTGTCTCTTGCTAGGGAAACTTAAGAGTTTCCGAAATTCCTGACTGAACTGGACAAATCTAGATTTTTTAGGAAGGTTTCTATCCAATTTCTTCATAAGATTTTCAATTCTGTCGTTTAGGTGTAAAGTCGAAAATCCAATGATTTGACAAAAATTGACACATTGGAGGAGGTTGATTATGCTAACTAGGTACTGTAATTGATTGAAAAATGTAATGAAATAAGGAGAGTCAAAGTCAACGCATTTATTTCAATTAAACCATAATTTGGTACTTTTATAATAGGATACGACCTTCAAACCTTCAAGAAAAGAGCGTACTCCTTTTTAAAAGACCAGCAATGCAGCTGTGACTCCTCTGGTGTTGTGGGTGTCCATGGGTGGCGCTGATCGCTTACCATCAGGTGATCCATCTGCTATTCCATAAAAACAACTTTTGAAACGTCAACAAATACAAAATAAATAAGTCTGAGTCTGTCCGTCAGTGAAGCTAGCTGCAGCATTGAAAGCGGAGTTTTCTGAGAGCTCCAGAAATGGAAAAATACGGAATCTTCGCGCGTAGGAAGTCTCGTTTCAAGTAAACATATTTATGATACAAAGTAATCGATAGACACCATTTTATTTCTAAGTATTCTTCCAAAGGTCGCGATTTATAAATAAATTTTAACAAGGGATGAGCTGCGTTTTATTTTCGGGTAATGACGCAAGAGTGCCTGCTGAGTAAATGGATTCATATTTGATTTCCGTGTATAATTTTGTTTGTTAATTGAAAATTAGAGTTTATAATTACGCCTGGCAAGAAAGTAAAAATTAAAGTCTAATGTTTTAAATAATCTCCAGACGGTCATTAAAATAAAATAAGGCGTCTACTTTATTGTTCTGTATGGGAATTTAACCCACTGGGCAGTCAAATTGGTCACTACTTTCATCAATATTAATAGCCTATTTCCCATGGAGGTAGGCAGAGACTCTGAAACGCCAATTGCTACAATTCTTACGTACATACCTCTTTTGCTTCATCAACAGTCATCAGTCTTCCGATTATTACATAATAGCATCTCTACTATTAATAATAATATTGTATCCATCCAACAATGCCAAGACACAAACGTAGTGTCAAGTAATCACAGATCCCCATCCCAATAGGGCTGTTACATTGTTACCGATACGGAGCCGCGGAGAACTTAACAAGTTACAAGGGCTCCGGCTTGAAGTGCAGGAGTAGGAACGGGGTGGTTTTAAGTCAGTAACAGTCTGACATGCCCTCCCGCCTCACCTAGGAGGGAGAAGACATTCGATGATTATCCACCTTTAAAAAAATTCAAGTAATCATTTATTAAAAAGCTCTCTAAATTATGTACTTAAAAAGCACTATCAATTCCAATTATATGGCCCTCTTTATCTAAAGTTCTACGTAATATTAATTAGTATAGTGCCTCCTTTATAGCCTGCTAATTCATTACTTAGTTAAGTGTCTCATTATCATTTCATAGACACAAAAAGGTATTAAATAAACATGGCATCTTGTCTTTTAAGCCGCGTAGGAATAGATAGTTCGCATGTTTATATGTGGAATATAATATAATTGGAGACCTCTTGTTTTACTAGCTGACCCGTTAACTTCGTATCACCTCAATTTTTTCTCTTACATCTTTTAAACTTTCCCTGGTCTTCCACGAACATTTCAAGACCAATATTAGTCAAATCGGTGTAGCCGTTCCCGAGCTAAAGCGACACTAAACGAACGGAAATTCATTTTTATTTATATATAGAGGTATATAGATATAGATAATAGGTAGGTAGGTACTTTTCTTTTTATGTCGTAACTCCAAAACTACTGGACCGATTTGGAAAATTCTTTTACAATTATACAGCTCACGTCTCAAAGAGTAACTCAAGTTAGTTTTCATCCTAATATTCCTACAGTAGATAGACACTATAGCCTAAAATATAAAACCTTCTAGATAGCTACATTCAACGCGGACAAAACCCCAGACAGAATATAAGTGTATAGATATAAACAGGGCTTACATGGGGGAACATCACGATCAATAAATGCACCGGACGCGCCCTACGTTGTACGCAACGCACTTAAAGTTCAAAGTTGAATCTAGACTACCTATAGACTCCCTAACGGGCATGCGTACTTCGAGGGGTGAGGCTGATATGCAATATTGATCCTTATTGCAAGAGAGTATAGACTAAAGGGTAGGTACACTAGGGTGGACTAGGGTGTGCTAGGGGAACGGTTTTGTCAATACTAGCTTCCCCTCGCGGCTTTGTCTGCATCAAAGGGAATGAAAAAGGGTTGCCTATATCACCCTCCAGTCTAGCCGTCTGTATTATTCCCTACACAAAACCCCTCTGTTGCTGCGGGAACGAATTCGTACACACATATTCGTATTTTGTTATTTTAGTTAGATTTTTCATTACTTGAAACTTAAGTATAAAATGAAAGAAAGAATTAACAATAATTTAAATTAGTTCCCCACACCCACAGATTATCATAATAGGCTAGTATCCTAAATTTTATTTTAATGTCCGTCTGGTAAATTATTTTAAAACATTAGACACGTATTTTTTCTTTTATCACAAATTAAATGCTTTCGATGATATTGATTTGAAATGTCGTGTGACGTCACAGCGTGCAACAAAATGTAGCACTTTGTGACGTAACTACCGGAACTCCTAAACTTAACTCCATTTTAACTGAGTATTGTAACTTGATACGAGAAAATAAAAAAATACGTGTCTAATACTTTTTCATTTTTATTATCTATCTGACAGACTAATTAGATCTTTAATTTTCTTATCCTGGAAACTACCCAATTATTCCTGATATATAGCAATTAGTTTTTTATTTAATTTTATCTTTATTGGCCTAACAACAATTGTATACATTATTATATTAAACAACAAACATTTCCATCAGTTAAAAGTAAAATGTTACAATAGACTACATGCGAGCACAGCATTCTTTAAAAAAAAAACGATCAATCAATAAAAGCAAAATTAAATAACAGAATAAACCAATTAAAATGCATTCATTTGTATAAATAAATTAGCAAGTTCACTCCTTATTATATGAATTACAGAACACAAATCTTACAAAGTTGACGTATAAAATCTTACACATGTAGGTACCTATCCTAACGAATAGAAACCCGTAATGTTACGTTTAAACTCAAAATATTTACCCAAAAACACCTGTTGAGTCTCGTTTTAATTAAAAACAACGTGTTCTATGTTAATTACGTATTTAAAAGCATTTTCTGCTCTTTGACATTTAAAATACTCTGTTGGGCTCAAAAGCCCGGTAATTAAATATACTAAAACTACACTCGTGGCTCGTGAATGTGACGTTTGAAATTTAAAAATATGGAAATCTTGTTTATGCTATTTTGGCGCGTTATTTTGGAAATGGAAGCTATATTTTTTAATTGCGTTGTTTTCCTTTTTTGTTTTTTTAAAAGAGCCGATTGGCTGATATTGAATACTCAGCTGTCAAAATAAACTGTATAATAGTTTGTTGGTTTGACACTAGAAAATTCCCTATTATTAGATAAATAAACTGGACTGCCTCGTTGGCCACGGCCGACCCCCTGGTCGCAAGTGCGGCTGCCGGGTAAGGGGTCTCGGGTTTTAATTTTCGGGTCGGGCAAAGTATTACTTACTGGGTTTTTTTTTATAAATTCTCAGTATTAGCACGAAGTATGGAATTGTGCCCATTATATTGTGGCAATAAGCTCGCCCTCTATTACATGGGACTCGTAACTTAAATAGT